GTTAGAGCGTTTTCAATACTTACCCCGTCACTATACACAGTGAGTACGGTTAGAGTGTTTTCAATACTTACCCCGTCACTATACACAGTGAGTACGGTTAGAGTGTTTTCAATACTTACTCTGTCACTATACACAGTGACTACGATTAGAATGTTTTCAATACTTACCTTATCACGCTACACAGTGACTGCGGTTAGTGTTTTCAACACTTCCAACGTCACTTTCTGCCCAGTAACTGATATATATACAGTATATGAGGTTTGCGTGTTTTCTACTCTTTCTTCGTCACTCCACACAGTGGCCGAGCTTACACCGTTTTCAACAATTGCCCCGTGACTCTACACAGTGACTGCGGTTAAAGCGTTTTTAACACTTGCCCCGTCGCCCTACACAGTGACTGCGGTTAAAGCGTTTTCAACACTAGTCTTGCCCCGTCACTCCACACAGTGACTGCGGTTAGACCGTTTTCAAGCTGTCAGTCTTCCCCTACTCGAAGGCGAGGCTGCATCAAGATTCGCGGCGTTTAGTTGCCGTCCCCCGCCTGAAACGCTGTCCTGACTAAAAGCCATACCACGCTTTTCTGCTGTCAGTGATCCAGCTCTGAGCCTTCAGCACAAATTAATCACCACGCGCCAGGGCAATTTGTTTCTCATTCGGCACTAATTAGGGGACAGGTGAGCGTGTGTGGCGTGTGCAGTACGCGTAATTCAACGCACGTCAACATTGGGAATTAGATTCTAACATAATAACATTATAATGACGTAACCGCCGCGCGTATTTGTTAAAATCCAATTATAGTTCGTGGCGCGACTCGCGAATCGTTATTGGATGTCGTATAACCGTATGACAATGGCTTCTTCACACGCGCATAATTGGCCGTTATAGTGATGTTTGTTTAGGCTTGCATTTGCAAGTGCGCAAATTTCGCCCGCGTTCGAAATACGTAACGTAAACGGAACATGCGAGGAAACATAGCAGAAATGGTCCGAGTGACCACACCGCGCGATGAACTTTTTTTCCGATAAGAATTCCCATACGGCACCATACCTTTCTATACTAACCGTGCCTCGCAATGGCTATAGTCCCCACCCCTCACCAACACTGACATATTCATTGCGCTAACCCCAGGCAGGCTGCAAGAAATTGTGAATTCCTTAAACATTGATCAAGTAATGTACGGGATCACTCCGCGATACATGAGGACATCTGGGTCAAGTGGGTGCTTGCGCCGAAGTGGCTCAGTAGGATATACACAGCCAAGCAGCGACTGCAATCGGCTAGCCTCCGATTCTACTCTGCTTTTCCGGTTGACATTTACTCCGGAAATCTCATTGCTATTGCATCTGTCATCTAAGTTTATCTTAAAACATTAAATTCTGGTTCAAATAAAATTGCAATGTAATCCCACTTGATGCGCGGTTGGTTATGGAGTAGTCATTCTATATGTTATAGCTCATAGCGCAATTTGCAGAGATCACAATCGGGAGCTACTAAATCTATTTTTAGTCTTAGAATCAGATGCTAATATATGAGAAGATTACGTCTCGACGCCGATTTTGACGCGCATGTATGATGTATGTGCTACACTACGACTTATCTCATAAGCCGCCCTGAATTTAGCAGGTCGCACGACAGCAAAACACAACATGCCTGTACAGTGCAGTACGGTGTGTGTGTGTGTGTGTGTGTGTGTGTGTGTGTGTGTGTGTGTGCGTGCGTGCGTGCGTGCGTGCGTGCGTGCGTGCGTGCGCGTGTGCGTGTGCGTGTGCGCAGTGTGTGGTGTGTGTGTGTTGATTGACCGAATGTGCGTTGTGCGCGCGGCTGCGTGCGTAGTGGTGTGTGTGTGTGTGTGTGTGTGTGTGTGTGTGTGTGTGTGTGTGTGTGTGTGGTGTGTATGTGGTGTGCTCGTGCGGCGGTGTGGCGCGGTGTGCATGTGTGTGTGTGTGACTTTATGAGGCGCCTTGTACAAGTGTCAATTATATATAACTATACAAACTAAATGTAATTTTGTCTTCGTTGTACAATGTTCGTTATGGGAGAAAACACAATAGTACCTTTAATCTATTAAGCTATACATTGCTGACTACTGTTTTCCCTATCATCTCTGCGGGTCATACGCAAGATCTACCCACATATATGACTATTCACCGCCCCAACAATAATTAGAACGTGGGCCGTGGGTGCATCGGCTTCAATAATGATAGAAACCATTCTTTTCGTTTCGTTCCCCCAGCTATTCCCACAAGATACGGATATTTTCTGTTGCTACGCTGGGTAATAGACGAAACCAAATGTTTGACTTGCTTTTGTAAAGGGCATGTACTTTAAGGATTGGAAGCCCGATGGGGTTAGGGCAAAATCCTTTCAACTGCAGCGCATGTCTGCCCGAATCTCAGCGTTCGCGTTAGGCCCAGCGGTGTGTTGTTTTTCTCCCGCCGATCGCGGACCGGTTATGATTTGAAAGCGACTCGTGTTTGAGCCAGCCTCGCCGTGGTTTCGAGTGTCGTACCCATCGCCGTGATTGAGAACGATACGATTTCCCGTGCTTCCAACGTCGCGCGTTCCGAATGGTCCCCGCCGATTGCTAAAATTATTGAAAGCTTAAGGCTCGCCGACACGAAAGGTACTCTGTTCATGGTACTGGTGACTATCTGCCTGCAATTCTCAACGCCTCAGGAGGGGTGATGACTTGATTGGCGTCATTTGGGGTTTCTATCAGTCCGTATATTTAAGTTGGTAGTCGACCTACGCTAGTGTTTTGCAATTCAATGCACCGGAATGAATTACTGTTCTTCTCATCTAGTTTTAGCGGGCTTCCTTTCTGTCGCGGCGAGCCAGTAAAGGAATGTCGATGAATCGACGCAGGCTCGGCTTAACATCGGCAGACAATGCCGCGATTAATTACGGCAACGTTCGCCTCGGACATCATTAACCGCGCGTTCGTCCTCGTGCGTCTCTTCAGTGAAGCGAGTGCAGTGGCGTGCGTGCGCGTGTGTGTGCGCGCGTGCGTTGCGTGTGAGGGCTGGAGAGAGAGTGCAGCGGGTTGCACGTGCCAACTCGCTGTGTATCGCAATGTTCGTAGCCGCGTCAACGAAAGAGTGCCGATTTCTATGGCGACAGTTTAACGAGAAACTCGTATAGCGCGTTCGGCTTGCCTACCTATGGCCTTTCAATGCGGACGCTGACTATGGAAAATTAAACCGGAGTTTTAGATCGAATTGAATCACGGCACGTGTGCAATTGAACGTTCGTGCGCCAAGCCGATCTGCTTCCTTGGAGAGAGCGGGGATTTTGTAATGAGCACCGTGTTCGTAAAATTACGTTAGTTTTGGCTCGAGAGAAAATGTTTGCGCCGCGCAAGCGGAGTGCGTAAATTTCTGAAACTCTGCTGCCGGCGGAGCTCATCTAAAGCATTATTCGATGACAACGTGAAACGGGTAAGAAAAGTAAGTGCCCAATAAATCCATGAAAGTGATTCGCGGCCAAATCTATATTTTTGTACTTCGCGCACGCCAACGTCATAAACCATCTCGGCACGGGACGTGTGTGTCAAGACAAGAAAACTGCCGCGGTTCTTGTGCAAACACCTTCGCCAAGCCCCGCCGCCACAACACACAGCGCTGCCATATTGATTGCACATTTGTTTTGGCATTTGTCGGCCGACAACTTGGAT